ACCAAGAAGAGTCCAGTCAAGAAGGGGAAGAAGTGAGTGAATGGAGTGGAAAAACAGTAGGGAGGACATTCATTTTGGTTGTAAAAGGCCCTCAAAATGACTTCTTTTGTGTAATTGAGGCATTGCCTTGGGCAGACATGCTTATGTAAGTGGCCAGAACTATGTAAGTGGCCTGAACTATTGTATGTGGCCAAAACTTGTGGCAACTCCTCTGAACAACAACTCTGTTTGATGTGGCTTGAATGTAGCTGTCGGGTTCATAAACCCGGGGTCCTTCACGGACTGGCTTCCCAACAGAGGCTCGACCCAGCAGGCAACGTTGCAAACAACGCGCAACTCATGGGCCGGCCCAAGTACCTAAACAATAGGCTAGAAGGGCGATCCAATCACCGATCAGAAGGCCTGGCCAAGGAGGAACGGCGCCCGTTTCCGACTCTGACCCATCTCTCCGACCGGAGCCCTCGCTTCAGTCCCTAGCCCGCCTCCGGACAGCCTCTCCGACCGGAAGGCCTGGCCAAAGCACTACTTCCGACTCTGACCCGCGTCTCCGACTGGGGATGCACCAAACCCCTGCTCACTGCTCTTCTCCAACTGGGACTAATCGACCGGGGACGTCCGCTCGGTAAGGACCAGGGAACGAACGAAGAAAGTAAGGCAGGGCGCACAAGTCAAACCTCAATACCAGGGACCGCACCCTACGCACCTGCCAGGCAGTACTCTACGACCTCCCTAGCACGACAGAACCCAATCAGTGTTGTAGGCGCCAACATTTTCTCCTACAGTATTATGGACGCCATTAACTCCCATACGGTAAGGCTCCCCCACATGCCTTTGGGCATTGACAGTGTTGTGGGCGCCGACATTTATCGTACCAGGCGAACATGGTAAAACCCCTTGCGTGCCTCCAGGCATCAATAGTGTGGCAGGCGCCGACGTCTGCTATACCCGAAGAAGACAACACAACCTCCCACGTGCATTTAACATTCAAACAGTATTGTGGGCGTCTACCATCATCCTGTACCCGCCGGCGTGGGCAACAAGGCTTAGAAGCATACGTACTCTCTCCCTCTCACTTGTAAGGCTATCCCCTTCATCTATAAAAGGGGATGCGCTCTCTCCCAACATCAAAGTTCATCCAGATTGATTTAAATTTATTAGATCGATCAAGTTCACTAGTACACAACCACAGAACCGTCAGGTTCGAACCACAAGCATACGCTTGAACACTTAGCTCATAGCGGGGCTCCCATCACTCTCGGCCCTTCAGACCGGACCTCTTGTACCCTCCCATCTTTCTCCTTCTCGTTTGTAACCTCACTGCAAACTTCGAACACCTGGGCTCAGGAATAAAGTCACCAACCGACTCAAACTGGACGTAGGGCATGTTGCCTGAACCAGTATAAACCCTGTGTCATTGAGTGCTAGGCCACCTCCGATCACAACGTACGGCAAAACTATAAATATGTACTTGTTGGTCACTTTCTGCATTGATAGTAGCACTGCTGGTTGGTTTATGGTTAATGTGTTCCATCTGTTATGTTGAATCTGTCATGTTTCAGTTGATCTGTCTTGTGTTTGTTACCGAGTTAGGCCTGTGATCCACTTCAGTTGCTTTAGGTTTATTTTACCATCTATGTGTCACGTAGGCTGTGGGCTTCAACTTTCGTTTTGCAATGTAATTATACTCTTAGTTGATCTTTACATTGGTGAATCATATCACTTGTTGGTTGATAATTTATGATAGACAATCAATCCCACAAACATTGTGCCCTTGATTTGTTTGCTTATTACCCAAGAAATAGTTGTCAGTTGTATCTTCTGAGAATAATCCTTCCTGCCAACAGATGCTTTGACTTTAGTTGATAATTAAATGTACTCATCTACGTCTAATGTCTCCATGGGTATAATTAATGCTTTTCTCATGTATTTCATACTGGCAAAACTACTCTCAGGACATTGAAATACAATTTACACATTGTCACATTGAAACACAATTTTCATTTCCATACATTGTCACATTGAAACACAACTTTTATTTTCCATACATTGTCACTTCATTGCAACATACATCACAACAGATCCAAAAACAACAGATATAACACACACAATGAACATTTTCATCTTCCAAATCAATGTCTCCATCTTGTGCTTCAAGTCTTTCCTATTGTTGTCGGGACCATTTGGACTGTCAACTGAAACATCTTCATGATCCACCAACTCTGGCTAGTTGGAGGGGCGAACCTGGATGATGCCCTTCTCCTTCAGCTGCTCGAAGTACTGCTTCTCAAATCTATAGTACCCACACAGCTTGGGAAACTTCAAAAAACCCAAAGTTAGAACTCTAACTGTGACAATGGGGGATGGGCAGTACACATAACTCACCCCGTTCCTCGCACACTTGAAGTACAGACGCCCGTGGTTATCACCATCCTTCTTGGTTCGCCCCCTCCACCACCCGAGCACGCCCACAGTCCGGGCAAGGGATCAACGGGAAGCCGCTCAACTCACCTGCTGGATCCACACAGACGGAGGCGATGCGGGAGCTCCGGGCACCTTGGACCCGACTCCTCGCCCTTGCAGATGACTCGGCGTAATGGGACAGGGACATGTCTCGCGGTGGGGGCGGCGTTGTGCGCAGCGACGGCGGCGGCTAGCGGGCGTCGCGCGCGGACCAGAGAAAGGAGAAAGGGGAGCGGATGGGAGACAGTGGAGTGGGACGTGGGGTAATACAGATGCTAGGGGCAGGGTGGTCATTTTACATCGGCCTGCTGACTCGGATCCGAACTGAATAGCGGACCTGGCGTGCCACGCGAGCAAAAGTGGCAAATGTGTATCGTTTTTCTCTCTTCGATGCTAAAAACGTATCGTCAAACTTAAATATGCTGTCTCAGGAGTCGTCATTGGTAATAATGGTAAAAAGTGAAATATCGCCGATCTGGCCACGCCTTCGTGGGAATTGCCTCCGAATTACAGCATTTGGGGAGCGTGACTCACTTGTTTTCGTTAGAATCAGTGCCAAAGCAGTCCCAAACAGACTCATTGTTCCCCTAATCAATCTCATGCCTATCTTATCGAGGTCCCTCTGGAACACATGTATTTCATAGAAAATAAATAGTATATTAACTCAAAGGATTCCGTCCAACTTTATAAAAAAACACAAAATCTAGAAAAAAAAAAGTCTAGCATTAGCCCCTCGATAAATTCAGGCAAGAAAAATATACAAAACAATGATATCGACTTTAGGTGCTTTATCAGAGGACTACAATTTTCATGACAAAGGTATCACAAATCTAGAACTCAACACTGCTAGCTGGATTTTTTTTTTTTTTTGGTTGTGTAAGGCGTCCATCGGGTTCGAGTCTCTAACTTAGTCAGCCTGACCGACTGCCTTTTTTCTCAGGTTGTTGCTGCATGCTACGGCTTCTGCAGTGTGTTGGTTCACTGTTATGCCGCTGCTGCAGCCGCTAGATGAAGCCATGAAGGGCAGCCGCTAGATTTTTGTGTGCTTGCACTTACGGCTAATATTCTTTCGCCCGTTATAAGGCAAAATGTGTGACCTCACCGGTCTCAAGATGCGCTAACCCAGCCTTTCAAATGGTCTATCGGGATAATTAAGGTACACGTGGTGTATATGAGCATATGCGCGTGTACGGCGTGTTTTGAAAAACTAGTGTCACGCGGCATATAAGAGCATCTCTAGTATTCTTTTTTGAATTCACTCTATAAATCATCATTTAGAAAATTATTTGAATAAAAATCGTTATCTATATCTTTTCACCTTTTAATAGATTCTCTATATTTTAGTGTGTACTTTAGAAAGCCAACACTGCTCGCCTTTGGTTAGTGAGAAAATAGAAAATAGAGGATGACAATATTTCGATATCTAATTAAAAAGCTATCGAAAAAATATTTTTTTTCTCATCAAAACCTCTGTTCGTATTGGAGTTGCTGTAATATCTCATCCAAAAGTTGCTACAACCCTAGCAAGATCTACAGTTAACTAGTTGTGGCTTTATTGGTTGCTAAGGTAATATGTTTTTAGTTAAGTTTAAGCGTAAGTCACGTTTTTCAAATACTATATATCAGAATCATCTTCAAAATCAAAGCAGCGCACATGCATCAAACTTGGGAAAAGTCAACTTAGTAAATGAAGATAAGTAAACTGGAAGATGCACAACATAGGTTATACATGTATCCGTATCACACAAGCGCTCGTGGCCTAATGGATAAGGCATTTGACTTCTAATCAAAGGATTGTGGGTTCGAGTCCCACCGAGCGTGTTGCTTTTTTATGTTTTTCTTTTTTTGGTCCTCTGCTTCTAACGCCCTCACCCAGTCACCCTACTCTGTTTCTTCGAAATTCGTGCGGCAGCTTAGCTTTTTGAATCCATACATAAACAAATTTGTAAGGAACTCATTCTTTTTTTCATTCTATCTAATTCTGACGAGAACAGGGCTACATATGATTCGACGAAGATATATCATTCCAAATCTTTTATAGACCTGAAATTTCTCTTTAAGCAACACTGACAGGTCACACTCCAATCAGAATCTGGCTGAAAACAAAATCATTTCAGGTTGGAGCTGGAAAGACGGTGAAGATAAAATTGACAGCGACAGTAGTGGTTGTAGCGACACTGATAATACCAAAATCTGGTGACCAAATTTTATCATCATCGTCAATCAATACAAACACAGAAAAAGAGAGCAAAGATGCTACTAGTATGTATGAGCAAAAAGAATTGGCAACTACACCAACTCGGCTTACATCCATTTCTCTAACAACTGAACTATTCGGTAGGAGCCCGTCCTGTCATCTCTGATGATCGATGGATTCTGAAACTGAAACGGCTGTTAGATCGATCAGATCAGATGTGTATATCTTGTTGGTTTATTCTTTTCCTTTCTCTATTACTAATATTAATATCATCGACGATAATGACATGACCAAGAAGAAGAAGAGCTACAGCAGCATCTCCATGCAGCAGCAGCAGCAGCAGCTATATCTTGTCGCCTTGCTTCTCGGCGGTGAGCGGCAGCATCTCCAAGCGGCCTCTGGGCGTACGCGGGCCGCCGCCGCCGGTCGCCACGGCGGCCTGATGCTGCGAGATGAGGTGCCTGACGTAGCCGTAGAAGGTGCAGCCGACGAGCGTGACGGCGCAGCCGACGGCGTTCATGGCCGAGATGGGGTTCCGGAAGATCATCCACGACACCAGCACCGCCACGGCCACCTTGAGGTTGCCGGCCACGTTGAACGTCACGGCCGTCGTCGAGTGGATCACGTAGAAGATGGAGAAGTTGAGGCAGAAGGCCAGCACCCCCGACGTGACGATGATCGCCAGCGCTGGCCCCACCGACTCGTACGTGTAGAGCCAGCTCACCACGCCGCTGCCCTCCAGCACCATGGCCGGCACTGACAGGATCATCGTCGCAAAGGGAGCCATGTAGTACACCGTGTTGATGCTGCACACAGTCACACACACATACAAAAACATTTTAACCTTTTATTCTATCCATGGAAACTCAATCAAGCAGTAAATATAAATCAAGATCATATCTTTTACTTACAATAACCTATACTATACCTGTCGAATTTGTATCCATGGAGCAGCGACTCTGCCAAGATGGTCTTTGTGGATGTCGCCAGGCAGCCCACCATGGCGGCGCAGAAGCCAAACGTGTTGAAGCTCAGCTCCGTTACAGAAGTCAGAAGAATGCCTCCCACAATAGGGACCAAAGAAGCCCAGATGCGCCATTCGAAGTATTTCCTCCACACCAACCACTGAAGAATCACTGCATCTCGTCTCAATGGAAGAGATTGCTTTGGTCAGAAACTATCATCATTCTGCACGAACTGCAGAAAAGGAAAATATAGGATGACAAGATCGTCATATATAAAAGAAAAGAAACTAACCTGTGGTTGCAGGGGTGAAAGACTTTATGGTCTGCATGAAGGAGACTGGGATGTACCGCAGGCTCACATTCCCCAGCACAATGTTTATGCAGAACACGAATGACATTGGGAATATCCTTCTCCATAGATCCTCAGAGGCAACCTCAATCAGCGGCTTTGTTTTTAGAACTTTGATTGCGATGTAGGCTCCGATAGAAGAGCATATGAAGTGGACGCACGACACCGTCAGAGGGAACTTGAACTCCAGTTTCTGCAAAATTTGGCCTCAAGATCATCAAGTCCATGCCTTTGTGCCAAGCAAGCGGCAATGGCAACTACTAGTATCATTAACTTTCCCTTTCCAACATCAGAGCAACAAAAGATAAGAAAGGGAGAAACAGAAAGCTTCTTCTTTAAGGGTCTCTCTGAAAGAGAGCACATGTTAGCAGAGGGGTTTCTTAAAGAACACAACAAGCAGATTTCTACTACTACTTTCTAGGTATATATATTTACAATTGTGCTAGTTCACAAGACAAATCATCTCATAAATACAGAATCAATTAATCCATCTCATTACCAAGCCAGCATGTCAAGTCAAGAAATAAGCAAAATATTTCAAGAGAGCTCCTCCTCAAGAAACAACCTCAGGAATTAGAAGCTTCAAGGGAAATGTTTGGATCCTAAATATCAATCCTCAGATTAGATTTAGATAACATGGAACTGGCAACCAAACATGGCAGAGCATTTGTTACTAAGGCCGGCGAAGTCAAAGATGATCCTATACGGTGACACTCCATCAAATCCATAGTCAGCTTGACAGAAAAAAGAACCTTGCTGCTCACTTCAACAACTTTAAGTAAACCACAATCTAGAGGAACATGTATGGTTGCAAAATATAGTACATACTATATACCTACCTCTGGTCTAAGAAATTAGATAACTGCACATAGGTGCAATCTGAAAAAAAGAAAACCCTACTGTTCTCCATCATAAACATCCCAAACCAATCTACAAACCACCAGTTGAAGTAATTCCCAGACAAACAAAAAGATGATTCCTTTTGGTTTCTGCCAAAACACTAGACAAGACGACATCATCATGGGCGATTAATCTGCACCCATGGAACGATGGGAGGAAGACGAAAACTAAAAAGAGGCAAAAATCTCTTCTGGAACGAAATAAAGGCGCTACCTTTCGTCCTGTACACACGGATCCACCCTAAATTCCCTTGAATATAACACAACTATATACACGATCATCTCTAGGAATTGAATTGAAACAACAACAAAATTGCTCATCGGGAAAGAAACCCCAAGAGCAAGGGATGGTGGGCGTGACGGACCTGGAAGATCCACTTGTTGATGATGATGACGGTGACGTTGAATCCCCACCACTGGAGGATGGCAAGCACCGCGCGGATGGTGGCGGCGTTCCCCATCTTGGCGTCCTCCATGGGAAGGGAAAAGGGAAACGCCCGAGCCCGGCCGGCCGCCGAGGCAGGCAGGGAGGGATCGGAGGAAGGAGACAACTGAAACCGGCCGGCGTTCCTCTTCTCCTCTCTTCTCTTGGCGTATATATTAACTATATATTTAGTATGTATTAATTAATCGATCAATCCGATATGAGAAACTGCTCCGCCCAGTGATCCAACCATCCAAACAACCACAAAGGCTCTTCTCTTTTCTTGTATCTATCTAGGGTCCGAGCAGAGGAGAAGATCGAGGTGGCTTAGAATAGAAGATATAGATGGATAGGAGGCGACATGAGGAGGAAGACGAAGAAAGGCAAGAGGAGAGCGGAGGGAGGAGGAAGACGAGTTGAAAGGGACCGAGGGGAGGCGAGGGGATATTCTGTTACTTCCTTGGTTTGGTTTTAGGTTGGGAATTCAGTTGGCGTGATGATGCGATTAATTTTTCGATTTCTCAACACTCCGTCAACTGATGATGTGAGGCGACAAAAGTCGAAGGTGGTGCAAGTGCAGATACTTGCCTGTTGCCACGCGTTACGTGTGCCTTCTCTGCCCTCTTCTGTCCCCTTTGCCTTTTGCCCTTTGCTACTCCTGAAATCAATCCTGCTCCCTTCCTTCTCTCTTTTTAGAGGGTTTTTTTTTGGACGAAAGTGAAAGCTGCAGCAGCTCATCTCATTTGTCTCCGTAACTGTTTTGAAAAATGTTTGACAAGAAGACTCTAATCACAGTTTTGCTAAAATTTATGCCAAATTTGTAAAGAGAAGCAGGAAAAAATCACGTTTTCACGGCTCCACCCATCGAGTAGGAAAATGACTCTGGCTCCTCAAAGCTTTTTCACGTGGAGCCATTTCTTAGATGAGGATTTCATTGGGCTTCATCCAAAGTCGGAGCCGCTACATAATAAGCCTTGCCAAACGAGAACTTGCTTTTGTCCCATTCGATGTGTAAGGAATTTAGGCACAAGCAGGGTACGATGCATTGACACCAGGGTTCTCAGGCCTTCTGGGTCACCATACTACCAAAGCCATCACGATTGAAACAAATCCACGACATGAATATGACACTTAAAAAGAAAATGAAGATGTATAATTGTTCAGCTATCACCCAAGCTCTCTGCCTTACGGGTTCAATCAGAGAGAGAGAGAGAGAGAGAGAGCAGTAACAAACTTTCACAGACATCGATGACAGGCTATGCAAAAGTATGTAAGAAGAGCACACATTGTTTAACAAAAACAAAACAAGTAACAGACATGTACATATCATCGATAAGCGATGTCAACATGGGTGGGTGTCAGTGTTACCACTTACCATCAGGTAAAGGGCAGACACAACATAACAGCACGACATCAACTTAATCACTCGGAATAGTCACAAGAATTCCAGGAAGGAAATAACAGGACAGGAAATCAACATCAGCAGTTCATCCGCAGGGACAAAAGTGCGCTTCCACACGGATGCCACCATCTCGTCTTCACCAGCCAACAGGGCATTTTCCCCCATGTATAGACAACCCATCGTCCGATTATTCAAGCTGTCAATAGTAATGTATACCCCTTCAGAGGGACCAAAGAATCATTTCCTTTCTTTTACCCTAGTAAGCCTGTGAAACCTCATCCACACCGCTGCTACTAATTTTTCTGGAGCAGCAGCTCCCTGCACCTTTGGCCTTTAGGCATCAGGAACACGCTTGGCTTTCTGCAGGATCGACTTCTCATACCTCTCCATCCCACGTGCTGACCTCCGCGCATTACACAACATGCAGTACCAGTTACCTCTCGGGATACTTTCAAGCGGCGGAGTCATGCAGTAAATGTGATAAGCATCATCACAGCCATCACACAACACTATTTCTTCATCATCCTTGTTTCTGAAGCAGCGTCTGCACAGGCAAGACGGGCAGTACCAGCATGCTAGATTCTTCTGCCTCTCACTTGCAATCTGGCTTTCTTTCATGCACAAGACATGATAGAACTTGTAAGCACAGTAAGGATGGCCGCATACCAAGAACTTCTTGTTCTCATCTTCACATGTGCCACAATGCTTGCACAAGTTTGCTAGAGCAGTTGTTGAGAGGTCCGGTTCACTGTCTTCATCCATGCTTGACACTGAGCTCTCCTGGGTTTTGACGGCCAATTCAGGTTGGATAACATCTTCAGCAGGTTCTTCTGGCTTCTCCACCACGAGCCACTCGCATACATCGCAGCCTTCATGTGATCTGCCATTATTGTTATTCTTTGAAGGTCCGTCTAATCCAACACAGCTGGGACAGTACCATTTTGCTGGGGCCTCTTCATCAATGGCAAGCTTGAGACATGAAACATGGTATGCAGCTTCACATCTATCACAGATAATTCTTCCTTCGCTGTCTGCCTTTCTGCCACAATCCTTGCAAATTCCATCCGATCCAGATGTCCCAGTTTGTTTGGGTATTGTAGAATGGCCAGAATCGCAAGGGGGAGTCAACTCCCTTAGGGCTTTGTGGGCGCCACCAACCAAACTTGTTTCCTAATAAAGGGTGCAGTTATTAATGAATGGGGTATAACAAATCCTAACAACGAAACAATGGTCAGCAGACATGTTCATAGCACACCACTCACCTCTATCCTGTGTTCAGCCACATCAATTTCTGAAACGCCAGAAGCCTACAAAAAATATTTCTATAAGCAATGACCAACATAAATGGAATGATATCAACAATACAACGCCCTGAATCAAAATCTATGGCTATCACCATAAATTATGCCAACGAAGCACCAACAGAAAACTCATGTTACCTGCTTTTGATGAGAAGCTTGTGAAATCAGTGAGAGACTGCTTGCCAGACCAGCCATTTGTTGGCCAACATGTTCAATCTTCTTCCATATCTAGTTAATAAACAAATATACATACATATTAAAAGAAACAAACAGCATTGATGGTATGTTTTCAACTGCATGTTTATGGTAACTTCTGGGGGTGTTCCGTACATGAATAACAGCAAACAAAAGAATTTACAGGTGAGAGAAAAATGGAAAAACAAATATCAGAGGACCTCTTTGGCCATTGAGATATATAGGAGGTACTAACACATAAACCAAATCTAATTGCTTATTCCTTGGCCCCAAAAATATTAAGTCCTGTTTTTGCCTTCTTTCATTTAAGAACAGCAGTGAACAAGGTAAATAAATGCTTCCTCACAATACATGGATTGAAACATACTTATTGAGTAGTTGTGTATGGCAGCGTGACGCAACCCATGTCCGATTTATGTGCATTCATGACTACCATCACCTTGTGATTCACTTCAAGAGAGAATTCCAAGGGAGTTGGCAAGGTGAGGTCAAGGGCAGCGGATGACACGGGTGGCGAGGAACAGAGCACAGATTCATGAAGACCAAGACAGCGGATCCCTTCCCACGAGAAACAGCTATTAGATGTCCTTTATTGGAAAAGGAGGCAATAGATCTCTGATTGGCCTCAAGCCAGTAGAGAAATATGACTATGAGGTTACATATATGCCCTTTTAGTTGAGCATACCTATTCCAGCTACAGTGGCATTGGAAAATGATTCTGATGTTTGGAATTTGGATGGTTATTAGAAGAATTTGCAAGGGCCAACCCATGCGCTGGAAAAAGGGACCGAAACAGGCAGCGAACACAGGAAGAATCATTCCTAACTATATGACCTTTTGAATCTATGTAGTCAAACAGACAAGCAAAAGGGACAGGTTTCAAATTTTGAGCATTGATATAACCTACCATAGGCTCTCAAGTAGAACCACAGCTACATCTTTTTCTATATCAGAGAAAACAGCACAGGAAAAAAAAGGAATGAGGCAAACAAACAAACAGGTACCTGTTTGATATCATGGTCAAGCAGCGCAGGGTTCTGTGCATAATCCCCATTTCTCATCTTGGCATCAATTATTTGCAAACCAATCAGGTCATCAGGCTTATTGACATGGAATGTTGCAGCTAGCAGATCACACAGCATGGCAAACTTCTCGGAGATTAGAATGTCAAAGAGAGCTTTATGGCACATCGCCTTGTTGGCTTCCAAAGATGCAGCTGTTCCATCTTCTAACTGAACCAAGGCATCACTATTCTCTTCGGAATGTACAGCTCCAACAGGGTCCTCTCTTCCTGCTCCTCCGCCGTCAGCTAAGTTCCCCTGGTAGATCAAGAAAACAAAATAGAAGCTTTTGTTAGTGGAAAGAGAAATGAACCATTACACAAGGTGGGCATGCACATGTTATGTTCAATCTGAAGGACTGGATGGATTACTAACATGTTCTGTGGGCTGGCAACCATAATATCTGAGTGCATCTCGGATGCAGCTCTGAATCCCTCCGGAGCCCTGGTTCACAGCAGCGGATTGTAGGACGCCCTCCAGCGTGTCCCTCCAGCTTCTCCAGTGCCTGTCTAGCATTTGACGCCCACCTTGCTGGGAACTGATGGCGTGCACCACCGCGCTCATCTTATTCTGCACAGGGGAGAAAGCAGGGGAATAAATGACAAATCTCGAGAAGCAAAAGCCATGACTGACCGATAATTCCGCACCCAAGAAGACGTATGCACGCCCAAGAAGACGAGTGGCAGCATTACAAGACACCCTAGCCTCGAGAGCAAACGTTGCGAGATGGAAAGGGGATCTTTGCAAGACGGAACCGAAATCTGGCGGCGTATGAAATCTACGAGTAACTGAAGGCACCGCGAGGCTGGAGAGACGCTCGTAGTAATAAAACCCATGTCGTCGTCGTAGCAAAGAACGACGAGTTGGGGGAGTGGGGGAGCTAGGGTTTGGAGGGGAATGCGTACCTTGACGGGGTCGGGGCCCGGCGTGACGGCGTTGTGGGCGGCGTTGGCGCCGATGCCGCGGCGGCGTCTCTTGTAGGTGAGGACGTTGGATGGGTCCAGGCCTTCCGAAGCGGGGAGCTTGGGAGGACGGCCTCTGGCGGCGCCGTCGGAGGCCATACGCGGGCAGCTAGAAGAGCATGTCCCGGACC